GAAATCCCTGGGTCTCGAAAAGGAACTAGGTATCATCAAAAATGACCTTCAACGGAATGGTTACCCCAGAGTGATGGTAGAACAGGCTTTAGCTAGAAGACAACAAGAGGAATAAGAAGGATTGGGTCCAAGTATAACATCAGGACCTGCTTCAGATCTGGAAACACTATCCGTAGCAGCCTCACGAAAACCAGGCCACCAAAGGCGGACTTCGATTCCAATAATTGCATTCACCGGATACGCTGCGAGTGCGGAGAATCATACATCGGTGAAACTAAGAGGCCATTGAAAGTTCGCACAAGAAACACACACAACGAGCAGAAACTAGCAAATCCGGAATAGCAGAGCATGTTTGGACTCATCAACATAATATCAAGTGAGCTCAAGCTGAAATCATCCACAAAGAGGAACACTGGTTTAAGAGAAAATTCAAAAAAGCTGCGTATATGTTGTCCAACAACGCATTTAGTCAAGCTAGCGTAGAGATACGTAACATATGGAAACCTCTAATCAAGCGAAAAACGCCAAACTCCCGCCAAACGGCCATCTTCCGCTAAAACCAATGAAGCGGAGAGAGGGAAGAGGGGATTGGTGGAATCACTCGAATGACCTATAAATAGTCGGAACTCGGAGGAATAAGTCCAGTTATCACCCGAAGACGATTGTGGATACTAACAATCCAAACGTCGTGACGTAATGGTTCAGACTTTCACGGCTGAGGTTTTCGGTGTCACTGCTTTTCGAGTTTGAAAGCCGTGGATTTTTTGAATTTCTTCCTGACGTTTCGCTAGCGCGAGTGGCTAGCTTCTTCAGAGGTTTAACCATCATGGTTTGCTGTCCGATGACTACCTTTTAGGCTTCGTAAAGCGTATTTATGCCTTGTCAGGTAATCCGTTGTTTCTGTACCTGTATTTGTACCTGTACTCGTACCTGCTTTTGTACCTGTAGTCGTACCTGCACTTGAACCTGGAACATTAACAATCTCACTGCCTGTTGTCCTGTTCGTTATTCTGGAATTCCTTAAAATGGGGTTCCATATTCGATTGAGGTTCACCGCTTCTTCTTTTCTGTTAAAATTCTCCGTGTGTTTGTGGATCTCTATTGCCTCCCGTACCAGTCGGCTATGGTATCCCTGGTTGGGGGCAATTAGTTTTTTCCGTTTGGCCTAGTCTGCAGTTCCTTTTATGCTGTTTTGTCTTTAACGACAAAAGAGACCCATTATCAACAGCTGGGGTCTATCGCATACCGTGCACGTGTGGAAAGGTTTATATCGGAACCACCAAACGATCCATGGAAACAACTAAAACACAACTTTACTTCCATCTACGTTTTACTATTAGACTACGTTTTGATGTTGATTATTTGGAGCTAATGGCAAATGTTACCCCTAATGAAGGGTTGGAACGGAACCGCCTAATATTCTCACCAGTTCTGGTCAAATCATGTATCTCAGTATAGGCGTACTAATAATTACTTCGTTTAGTTTAGAACGCTATTTTTCAGAAAATGCGCATGTGAAAATAAAACGTCAGGGTACCATTGGGAGCAGAATTGAACGCCAATGAAAATGATGTTCCACTTCACCCCTCTTTCCATTTGATACTCTAAGGGTAACATCTACCTCTCCTTTGGGACTGAACCACGAGGGCTACAAATAGTCTTCGAAAGTGTCCTCCTTGACAATAAAATTGAGCTGTTTTTTCGATTCCTCATATTGTTTACTGGAAGGAAGATATTAAAAGTGGGAAGTTTTCAAATTGATACCCTATATATTTGAAAACCGCTGTAGCTGTGTATATTTATTTTCGTTGTACTTCTCTATGTTCATTTCAGTTTGTAGACTTAATTTTTAATTTACTTCAATGATCCATTTCAACTGAAATGTTGTTCAATACCTCGTTTCTATCTTTTTATCTGTGTTCTCGCAACTGAATAATTTTTGTCTTCTTCACTTGAAAAATAACTTCATATATTTTCACGTATGTCTGATATTTTTTTTTAATATCGTTTCACCTTGTAGTGACCCGATCATGACTTTGTAAAAATAGAAACGTCGGTTAAAACCTGTACTGGTTTCATTTATGTCACCTAATCTCAACAATTTCTGTAATCAACAAACTTTTTTTTGGCTCCAAGAATATACACTTAAAATCCTTTCAATCAAATAACTTCCGAGTTTGAACAAATATTCCTTACAATTCTGTAATAAATGTGATTTTACTAGCATGTAATCAAGAAAGAAAATCTAACAGATCCGACAGAATGAAATACATAATTTTCGTTTAATGATGCAATTTGGCAAACGACGGAAATCCATGACACACTGGGTAACATATAATTTCGTGTGGGATAGCAAACAACAATTTTATTAATTCATTGAATCCAGTTATGAGCGGTAGAAAGTGCATCAACTAAGTGGTCTAATTTTGTAACAGGTTTAAGAGAGTTCATTACATCTAGCTAAAAAATTAATCATACAAATAATCCCCGAATCTGGTCTCCACATTGGTAAGCTGTAAAATGCTTTACGCACGCGCTAAAATGTGGTTGATGTTCAAAAACTTGGTTCCTACAACAAAAATTAGGTTAAATAATATCTCTAGGACGTGCAGGAGCTCTTATTAATCGATATTATAATTATAGTTCATCACTATATTCCGTTTGTTGATGGTAAAAATTATTAAATGGTCATTATGAATACAAAACACCGAATGGGTCAATTGAATCTGAGCCTATGGCGAGAAGCGCTTACTGCGCAACCCCTGCTGCAGGCAGCCAGTGATGCAATTGAACCCAGGTTTGTATTTATTAAAACAGAACACAGATTCAGATGCTACAAATGCAATACGCATATATACAGACGGCTCAACAACCAAAAGAGGATCAGGATGTGGAGTGTACTCCAGATCATTAAGTCTTAGGATTGAGTGGGAAATGAAAAGAAATACCAGCGTGGTCCAAACAGAACTGGCTGGTATCTCAATCACCACAAAAGAAATAACCAGGAATGGAATTTCTGGCAAAAACATAACAATCTGCACTGATAGTAGACAAGTCCTATTAGCCTTGAACAGACAACGTGTTACCTCAGGGCTAGTACTAGTTGGGCCACCAAGATTTAGCCAAAGTCTCAGTGGATAATAACATTATCCTGGGCACGACAGGAGTAAAGGTAATCGCATTGCCGACTCTTTAGCCAAGCTGGACTAAGAATTTTAGGACCCAGTGGCACCTACGGCCTGATGACTTCGACAATTGCGGAACTAGCCAAACGTCACACCCATGCTCAATCCCTAAAGAGATGAGATGGAATCAAAGGATGCAGTCTTGACAGGATCACCCTGGGCGACCCTGGGAAGCTGACGCCGAAGAAATATCTGGCGATAACCAAGAAAAACCTACGCTTAACAGTAGGACTTCCGACTGGCCACTGTCGACTAAGGAAATGGGGCTAGTGGAAACACCTTTATGCAGGACGTGTGAACAGGAATATGAAACTGTCAGGCATGTCTTTTGCGAGTGTCCGGAGTTATCGTAAATAAGAGAGTGTGTGTTCGGCAAGTCTTGGCCTACACCTGCCGATATAAAGGAGATGTCTCCCAGCGACCTGCCCACCTTCCTGGAAAGGATAGGATGGACGATGACCTAGGAGGACAACTCCTCGGGAGAATGTGGCCTAAGAGCTGTGGGCCTACACTCACCCTCCCTACTCTACAAATACAGAATTATATTTTATCACTATACTCTGTTTCTTAATGGTAAAAATTATCAAATGCTCATTATGAACGCAATACCCTAACAGAATGCTCACCCAAAATTTTATGATTTGCTGTAGTTGGTATAGGCGGGTTCATGATACCTTATCAGGTTCTCCCTATTTTTGTATCGCAAATGGGTTGAAAAGTAAAGATTTTATGAGCGCCGTATGTTTCGTTTTCCACATGCAGAGGCATGTATTTGGATATGTAATCAAAAAGACTTGTTAAAACTATTTTTATTTATTCAAATACAATTGATATTGTTATAACGTATTAATCCAAAATATTAAAATTATAGATCTTCGTCGAATGTTAAATTCCTCAACTGAAAGTTTCAATTCTCACATGTTGTTCTATTCTTTTATAACAATATAGTTTCGCCATTTTTTGGAGTCGACATGTTTTCAAAGACCCCTCAAAAACTATTTTGACTAACCTCTATTGACTTTGCGCTCACCATTACAACTGTGATAAACTAACCTATCAATCAAAGCGTCGTCATTTTGTATGATTTCAATCTTTTTTCAACATTTTTTGAAAGTTTTAATATTCTGCTATTTCGGGCGGAGGCAAATCTAACAAATCGAAAATATGAAAATCGGTCCAGGCGTTTTTTAGTTATAAACGGTGTAACTAAAGCCGGAATTATTTCATACATTTATTATGTTTAGAATTATATTACTAAAGTGCAGTGTGTCGGGACGCGATCGGCGTCAGAACGATGGTGGGGTTATGACGCGTCAGAACACTCCACACTAGTATGTTTTTAATCTGACGCGTTAACTAGCTAGAGAATAGTCGTTTGCATTTATTTGTGCACAAGGTGTCGGACGAATTTATTGAATTTGTTAGAAAATACGGTTTTGCATTTTTTTAATATCTCAAATTTATTTTTTGACATCCTGAAATATTGATGAAATCTTTCTTCAGCATTAGTAAATGATATTCGCTTCGACAACCTCCCAGAGCATTTACTGAGATGAGTATACTCGTATTATTCCGGAACATAGAAGTCTGCCATGTAAGTGAAACTACTCCTCAGAAATGGGTCGTAGGTATTTGGATACCTGTCTTGAAGAAAGACATGGATAGCGGCAAAATTGCAACAGAATAATATCAGAGACCACCTTGCACAATTAATGTTAAAAATTTCTTTTTTTTTCCAAGTACCCGAATTTTGAATTGAAATGGCCAATACAGTTACCTCACAGTAAAAGATTTTGGTGAATTTTTTACACTCACCTATTGTATCAATACCATTAGCAAAAGCATTCACGGAAAAAGGCGATAAGAAAGTCTCATCAAAAGAGAGATTTCTCGCCATCCAAGCTATAGAATTGGCCACCATTTGCAAACGGGTTGCGCACCTTTCACCTTGTACCTGAAACAAAAAGAAAGAAGTGTTTTCATTATCATACGAATAGAATCATACGATTGATATTCCACTTGGGCTTCCGAGAATCCTGCAGAGATGTTTTCAAAGAAAAGAGAAAATTGACATTCATGAGTAGGTATATCTGTTCAAAAAAATCTGTTTAAAATCTGTTTTTCTGTTAACCAGCTGTCGCACCCCTACGGACGACAACCCTCAGAAGTCGAAACTTGCGAGAGATAAGGATTAACGAGGCCTTACTTTTTAACGTGTGATTCCTATTTGTATAAATTATTAATATTTGCCTCAATTCATAAAAACCATTTTATTCAAAATGCGGATGTCCACCACTACCCAACCCGTCAAAGAAACCAATTCAGACTGGAAATTGTCAACTACTCGACTTATAAGAAATCCCCAAAATATGCCGCGGCAAACTTTTTCAACATGCTACATGATGATTTGAAGAATCAGCCAAACCCGTTCAGATTCAAAACAAAATTGAAATGTTATCTGACTCACGATCGGAAGGCCGTGATTTCCGCCTCGACCAGATATTTTTCTCTAGAGAATTTATCTGGTTTGAGCTGGGATGATTATGCAACCGTGTTTCTCAACTTCTGAGAGTTGTCGTTCGTATGGGGGCGACAGCTGATTAACGGAAAAACATATTTTTTTAAACAGATCTAGGGCATTTTATAGTATTTCAGAATTCATTTCAGACTGTCAATGAACAGTGTACTGTGTACTACCTACTTTCAGTGTTGTTTGGTTTGAAAATGTTTTTTAAAGTGTTTTATTATTTTACTATTTTAACATTGTTCTGTTTTAGACTTATCAATCCAATGTAAATTGGTGTATGATCAATAAATGCATATCTATCTATTTATCTACTTATATTCATTTCATGCCAAAGGTTTCAGTTCGATAGAGCCTGTTAGACATCACAGTTCATCCCTACTGTAGTCCAACAACTGTTTTGTATCAAGCTTTGAAGGGTGTATAAACGACTTGGAGTGAGCCAATCCTGGAAGATTCTGCCAGAAGTCCATAAATCTCTTTGCCATCCAGGTGTTCAATCTATGTTTGACAAAGCCTAAAGCGATGCCACTAACAGGTTCTTGTTCGATGAAGCTGCTTGCAGCACCCTCCTTTGCAAGGGAGTTAGCAGCATCATTGCCTTCCAGGCCAGTATGGTCAGGAATCCAGACCAGAGACAATCTGTTAAGTCTTCCCATCGGGGAAAGCCGTTTTTGGCAGTTTGCTACCAATTTAGACGTTGCTCGGTAGGAGCCAAGAGCTTCCAACGCCGTTTGACTGTCCGATAATATTTTTATTGACTTGTGTATGAGATTGGATTCTTCCACTCTCTCCGCATGTAAATTTCCGTTTGAAATACAGTCGCATAGGTTCCTAGACAGGTTGATATATCTGTCCTGGGTCTGCGACTGAAAACACCTGCACCAGAAGCGGAAGGTGTTTCTGATCCATCTGTGAACGAACCAACAACTATTTTCTCTTAATATTTCCTTCTCCCGAGTTTCTTGTGGTCTCAAATCCATTATTCCTGTGCAGCAACCATTAATATGTCATTTCATTGGTGGTCAGTCCAGTGCCTCAACTCCGACGTCCTTCGGATCACTTGTGGCACGTGCGCAGGTTGTCATGCATTAGTGAAGTACTCAATGAAGTTGGCATAATGTAAGTACCAGCCAGCTTCCATTCTCAAAACCTAAACAAACTCCATAGGAATCTCCCAAGTAATACTCTTTCAAAGCATAACGGAAGTACCACCAACGCTAACGTTTTGTACAAGATTACGTTATATGAACCGTTCCCCGATCCTTCGAGATACTCAATCATGTCGCTCACAAGATCTCGGCCCTTCGCAGACCACAACTAACCCTAATTCTCATCGAAAAATCATCCTAAGCGATGAGGCCCATTTCTGGATGAAAGGGTATGTGAACAAACAAAATTGTCGAATTTGGGACGATACCAATCCACATGAGATCCAAGAGCATCCAATGCATCCCAAAAAAGGCACTGTTGGGTGTGGTGAATTTTGGGCTGTCGGCGTCATCGATCCATATTTCTTTGAGAGCGACGTTGACCAGACCATCACTGTTAACGGCGATCACTATATATCGATGATACCAACTTCTTTTGGGCTGAATTGGATGATCTAGAGACCAACATGTGGTTTTAACAAGTTGGAGCTAGGAGCTACACAGCTCATACCACAATGGATACAATGCACAAACGATTTAAGGGAATGGTCATCTCACGTGGTGGTGATGTGAGCTGGCCACCGATATCGTGCGATTTGACCCTGTTAGACTTTTTTTGTGGGGTTTTCTCAAGTCGCAGTTGTATGCGAATAAGCCACAAACCACAGTGGTCCGAAAAGTCAACATAACCCATGCCATCGATCAAATTCAGCCTGATTTATGCGCCAGTCATGGAAAATTGGACGTGTCGGTTGCGATCCAACCAGAAAAGCCGTGGCGGACATTTGAACCATGTTAATATTCCACATATAATGGCATCAATACGTCTTTCAAACGAATAAAAAATGTCGATGATATCTCACATACACTTTGTTTAATTTAAATTTGAAGATACTGAGAGCTTGAAAGACCCTGTACATAAATCTGTTTAACAAATCTTTTAAAATCTGCGTATCCGTTAACCAGCTGTCACAACTCTCAAAAGTCGAATCTTGTGGGAGCTAAGGATTAACGAGTTACTTCTGTGAAAAATCCTGCACTGACACCTGTCGGATAAAATCCAACGCCCTTCATGGTATCAGCCAGGGGAGTAGTTGTGTTTTGATAAGTGTCAGTCCATTAACCTACAGCATAGGTGAGTTGAGACTGTCCTGAACGAATTGTTCTTTTAGATAATTAGATTTATAAGTATGTACTTACATACGTGCTTATACTTTCAAAGTGGTATATTTTTAGGAGAGCTTGTTTTTTGTGAAGGACAGATTTTGGCTTTCTACTTCTCCGTTTGAAAATGAGATTCTAAAATTGGCAAAAGTACCTTATTAACTTTGTTTATGACAATCCGCCATTTACAAATGGACTTTTGGGGTGATCCGTGGGTGGATTTCTGATATAAAACACTATTGATGGTGGAATTGAAGAAAAATGCCCAAAAATGAGAGAGAAAATACTTTTTATTCATCTAATATTCAAAAAATATTTTTGTTATTATTTTTCCTCTTTACACTCATACAATCTTTCCTCAATCAGAATAAGAAAAATCATTTCTGACTCCTTTTTTTTTCAGGGATGAAGACCCTTAAGAGCGACGTTGACCAGACCATCACTGTTAACGGCGATCACTATATATCGATGATACCAACTCCTTTTGGGCTGAATTGGATGATCTGAAGACCAACATGTGGTTTCAACAAGACGGTGCTAGGAGCTACACAGCTCATACCACAATGGATACAATGTACAAGCGATTCAGGGGCATGGTCATCTCACGTGGTGGTGATGTGAGCTGACCACCGATATCGTGCGATTAGACCTTTTCTTGTGGGGGTTTCTCAAGTCGCAGGTGTATGCGAATAAGCCACAAACCACAGCGGTCCGCAAAGTCAACATAACCCATGCCTTCGGTCGAATTCAGCCTGATTTATACGCCAGAGTCATGGAAAATTGGACGTATCGGTTGCGCTCCAACCAGAAAAGCCGTGGCGGACATTTGAACCATGTTAATATTCCACACATAATGACATCAATACGTCTTTCAAACCAATAAAAAATGTCGATGATATCTCACATACACTTCGTTTTATTTAAATTTGAAGATACTGAGCGCTTGAAAGACCCTGTACATAAGTATGTTTAAAAAATCTTTTAAAATCTGCGTATCCGTTAACCAGCTGTCGCCAAACTACAAATGACCACTCTCAAAAGTCGAACCTTGTGGGAGCTAAGGATTAACGAGTTACTTCTGTGAAAAATCCTGCACTGACACCTGTCGGATATAATCCAACGCCCTTCGTGGTATCAGCCAGGGGAGTAGTTGTGTTCTGATAAGTGTCAGTCCATTAACCTACAGCATAGGTGAGTTGAGACTGTCTTGAACGATTTGTTCTTGTAGATAATTAGATTTATAAGTATGTATGTACGTGCTTATACTTAGGATTTATAAGTATATATTCAAAGTGGTATATTTTTAGGAGAGCTTGTTTTTTGTGAAGGACAGATTTTGGCTTTCTACTTCTCCGTTTGAAAATAAGATTCTGAAATTGGCAAAAGTACCATATTAACTTCGTTTATGAGAATCCGCCATTTACATATAGACTTTTGGGGTGATCCGTGGGTGGATTTCTGATATAAAACACTCCTAGAAACTTCCATTGTAATTTCTCTCGTGATTATCCACAATTCAAGAAATTACTTTCTCCTGAATATATGGTGGAAACACTACTNCATAAGAAAAAGTCTAACGGGGGCAAATCGCACGATCTCGGTGGCTAGTTCACATCACCTCCACGTGTGTCCTCAAATCGCTCGTGCAGAATATCCAATGTGACATGACCTATAATACTCGCCGATTCTAGCGATGGACTAGCCAACGTCGTTCTCAAAGAGATATGGACCGATGACGCCGCCAGCCAAAAATCCATACTAAACAGTGACTGTTTCGGGATGCATTGGACAATCTTGGATCTCATGTGGATTGGTATCGTTTCAAATTCGACAATTTTGCTTTTTCACGTACCCATTCATTCAGAAATGGGCCTCATCGCTAAAGATGATTTTTCGATGAAAATTTAGGGTCAGTGGCCAACTCCTCCTAAGCTCATTCAGCGAACACATGTCGTTCTATGGTTGTTTACCTTCAGTTCCTGGGTGAGTCGAATTTTGTAAGGGTGCAGTCCCGAGTCACGACGCAAAATTCCCCAAGTTGAGGTCCCCAGAGAGCGGCGATGTTCTCGGCAGATCTTGCATTTCGTCGACGTACGGGTGTTGGTCAATTGTTTACTGAACTAGTGGACTAAATTTTTTTAAGAACAAAACGAAAGTATAAAAGAAACCTTCTCAGGGTGACAGTGTTCCATGTAAGTGCAATTTATTACCATTCATTCAAAGTAGAACTCATGTGAATGATATCTGATTTTTATTCTACAACGAATATTTGAAATACAAACTGAGTAGAGAAAAGTATCTTCGGTATAATTCAGTGTTCATATAGAAGTATTTGTTTCGATAGAATTTTTTTGCATGTATAGAGTTACTTATTTTCAAATTGATTACTTCCTTCCTTTCTTTGGAAGATTCCCTCACCCCTTTTTTTGTATCAAGATGGAGTAGAAGAAAGCCAAAAACTTTTTTTCCCAGCAATGTAGGCTTTCACGGCTGACGTCAGTGTTTTGGTTAGTTTCCGGGTTTTGCCGTGGTCTTCTTTGGTCACGAAACGTTTCAAGATTGTAATCAAAGAAGACAACGCAAAACCCGGAAACCAACAGCAACGTTCCCAGGTAGTTGATTTCACATAAACGTAGTTCTCCAAATAAAAGAGTTCTTAAACATAGAAGTTCGAGGTGTACCGAGTTGAACCTCAAAACGATGAGCAGCCACAATCCGTCGCGTATTTCTGATATGTACCGCTCTTGGTGGATTCGAATATGCTAAGTCACTTGAACACCTTCCGTGAAAGTATATACAGCGTGACTCACGGTCGATGGTAGGTTAGACGTTTCTGGAAAACGCAAAGCATGATTTTTCTGAAAATTTTACCTCAGACATTTCCTTACCTGTTCTATCGATCTAAAATATTTTCAGCATTGCGGCGTTGCCACTTCCATCAAAAAGTCCTAGCAACTTTATTTTTT